GCGGCTGCAGGGCGCGCGGGGCCGCTCTCCCGGAGCGGACGGGCCCCCCGCACTCCGGGGTGCTCACCCCTCGGGCCTGTGGCCCCCGGGCCTCCCGCCGCCCGTTCCCCAGCCGCCGGCTGGTCCCCGACGGCGCCTCCCCTACCTTCGTTCGCCAGGTCCGCCATTTTACTTCCTTGAGCCCTCCCACAAGGCCCCGCGCCGGCCCGGGCTCGTCTGCTTTCTGCCAGAAACTCCCGCGCCTGCGCATTTCCCGAGCCGACTCCGAGCGAGGCGGGCAGCTCGCGCCTGCGCGCTGAGCCCGGCGCGGAGTCGCGCTCCCGGTGCTGTCCCGAGCCCGGGGCGCGCTCCGAGCACGCGCCTGCGCACTAACCGCCCCCGCCTCCTTTTCCCGCCGACAGAGGGGGCGTGGGCAGGGCAGCGCGCTTGCGCAGTGCGCCTCGCGCGTTGCAAGAGCTGGGGCTTGACGCCCGTGCTTTCCGCTGGTTCCCCGGGGGTCCCCCGCGCTGGGAGAATGAGCCGTCGATCGAAGCCTTCCTCTAGGTAAATCCCTGGGTCTGCGGGGTGCTTTCCACATGCGCAGGCCCGAGGCTGATGAGGAGGCCCCGTGCGCAGGCCCGAGGCTGATGAGGAGGCCCGCGGGGGTTGCGGGGCACCCTGCCGTCTCAGGCCTCAGTTTCCCCTTTTGAGCGGCCAGCACGTCGGGCAAACGCTTTCCTGAGGCCACATGGGGGAGGTGGGGGGTTGGGGGAGAAGCAGAGGTCAGAAATTGAAGATCACTGGCCAAAGGGGGGGTTTAGTGGGGGAGGGGATCCCCAGCACCAGGGACTTGACCTCCCTGAGCCACCGGAACAGGAGCTCCAGGAGGCCAGACCCCGACGCCTGGAAACGAACAGCACCTGGAACCGAGTAGGCCTCAAGTTTCATCTGTAAAATGGGCCGATCACCCCCACAAGGCTGATGTGAGACTGTTGGGCACCCTGGACTCCTCAACTTACCTGCTCCGAATCTCTGGAAACACCCTGTGGGCTCTGCCTCGTCTCCAAAACATAGCCCAGGTCCACCCCTTCTCACCAGCTCGGCTGTCACCATCCTAGGCCAGAGCATCCTCATCTCCCTCTTGGAAGACTGGACGCGCTCCTCTCTCTCTGCTCTCCTCCTTCTCATGGAGCTCTAGGCTCTATTCCACACACAACAGCACACAGAGGAATCTTTTAAAAATACAAATTAGATCAAGGGCCCTTCTTTCCTCAATGCTTGCAAAGGACTTTCTGCTGAACTTGGAATAAATTCTGAACCTCCTATTCAGGCTTGCAAAGCCTCTGATGCTTTGCTCCCATGCTCCCCCTTGCTCATTGCAGTTCAGCCACATGGGTCTTTCTGGGTCTTTCCAGCCCCAGGATCTTTGCACTTGCTGATCCTTCTGCTTGGGACTCTCTGTCCCTGTCTTATCTAGATTTGAGCCCCAGCTCCACTCCTGCAGTATGGTCTAGACACGAGGACCTATAGCCTGTGGACCACATCTGGCTTGTGAGCTAAGAATTCCCATTTTTAGTTGGTTGGAAAAAAAAGACGACGCATAGCTCAGGCCGTGAAAACTGTATGAAGTTTACATTTCAGTGTCCATCAATAAAGTTTTATTTGAAAACAGCGACACTTACTCATTTGCATATTGTTTGTGGCTGCTTTCAATCTGTGAGAACAGAGCTGAGTCCTCTTAGCAGAGACGATCTGGCCAGCAACACTTGAAATATTTTCTATTTGGGTCTTTATAGAAGTTTGCCAACCCCTAATCTAGGACATGTGTATTTACGTGATTGTCTTACATGTATCTGTATAACTGAGAGGCGTGGTAAATGTTTAACAACGTTGGTGTGGATACTTCCACCATGGCATGGGGTATAGTTAATACTCTAAAAAATTTCCTGAACCTTATTTAATAGACACCTTGATTCTGCTATCCTAGATTTTGCCACCAGGCTACAGGCACGGGCCACAGATCTCGAGTTAGAAATTCTCCAGAAATTGCCAGAATATCTGTATGGAAAAGACCCCGGGGGGTCATCAAGTCCATCTGGTCACCCACAGTGTGTCCTCTTAGGTTGTCTTATTTCTAGCTTGTTGGTTGCATTGTATTTCATTGTATATAATCGCTCCTGGGTAGGTCTTCCTGGCCTTTGCCACCTCTCTGAACACTTTGACCTTTAATGAATGTAATACTTTTCTTTACATGCCTTTTTGTTAAAGTTTACATTAAATAGATACTATGTATCACGATTTAACATAGAAAACTACTAAGGCAGGAATAGGAGATAATTGTAAAAATAAACATGAAGACAATGTTTTTAAATTCTGGGTCCGTACTGTTGGCTGCCAAGGTGCTGAGTCCCAAGCCAGCTTTTTCTTTGATGTAAAGAGAGATTAGCAAAGTATTAGAACATACGAGAGGCCTCTTATCACTCAGCTGAAACGTTTTCCTTGACATGATGAGAAAGAGTATTGAAGACGGGTTCACTATAATCCACGCGATTCGGTGTCATTCAATGCCATGTCTCCGAAAGTCGTTTCATCCGCCACATTCTTCCCACGCTTTGGGAAGCTCCCAGGAACATGTCATCACTTGCTAAATTTAATTCAGCTGTGGTTTTTCAAGGGCCACTGAGAGATGCTGAACCTATCAGCGTGACGAGCCAACTGAATTTCCACTGGTTTCACAATTCCCGTGACAGCGCCAGTGGCTGCCAACGTCGGGCCCCTTCGGCCCTCCTTTGCTCTCGTTATCTGGTCTCCTCTAACCAAGTAGCTTAGTCACTGTTTAGTTATTAAACAAATACTTGTCGATGGCTAGCTGTGGTGATTTTAAAAGATGGCCCCAAATGCTTTGACCCTCTTGCCATCAGGAGGTGAGGTCTCTGTTCCCTTCCTTTGAATGGGGGTGGACTTGTTTCTGGTCCACGCACAAAATACAGTGGAAATGACGCTCTGTGACTTAGAAGGCTAGGTCAGAAGAGGGGCGGATATGCAGCGTCTGTCGGCTGCTGGAACAGTTGCTCTGAAAGCCTTCAGCCATCATGGAACTGTTCAACCGTCCCGAGGCGGCCATGCTGTGAGGAGGCGGGAGCAGAGGGCGAAGCCTTGAGAGAGACTGGCCCAGCGTCACCCTTCCTGGTTCGCACCCATTTCACAGAAGGGATGACAGATGAATTGAATGACGCGTGCTATTCTAAGCCCCTAACTTTGGGAGATGTTTGTTACCCAACCATACACATCCACCTCACGTACGGTGCACTGGGCTCTGTTCATGTCAGTTACACAGACACACACATCTACCCACCTACTGTGCACCTGGCAGTGTTCTACATGTTGGAGCCCGAGATGAACAAGACATTCTACCCTCATGGAGTTCGTCTTCTTTCGTGGGTAACTGACAATAGATTGGTTAGCAAAATAATTCAAGATAATGAGTAGTACTACAAAGAAAATCAAACACATATTGTCACTGAGTGACAGAAAGGGGATACTTTTGAGTGGCTCCTCAGGGAAATCCCCTCTAAGGGGGCAACATTTTATTAGAAGTTCTGTGGGAGAAGCATTGTAGACAGAACGTGAGTGCAAAGGCCCTGAGGCAGGAACAGCGTCGTGAGCTGGAGGAGCCGTGGGTAGCTCAGTGGGGCCAGGGCAGAGTGAGGAGATGAGGTCAGGGAGAGGCGTGCAGAGTATTGTCGGTCACGGCGAGGAGTTTGGGGTTTTCCTAACACAAGGGTTAGAAGTGGGAGATCAGTGGTTTAGCCTACCCAGCTGATCGGCCTCTGCTCCATCCTCCTCCTCGGCTCATCAGGAGTCGCCTTTGCCAGGGCTGAGCTCTGAGAACTTGACTTCCCTTGTCCACAGCCACGTTAGAAGTGGCTTCTGTGGTTGGGCTCCAGGAAAAGGGCCTTCACAGCTGTAATTCGGTCTCGTCTTCCCATGGAGGGCCGGGAGCCGGCCTGTGAAGTGTCTGCTCTGTGCCCAGCCCCATGCTCAGGTCGAGGCCCCCGAGATTCGTCAGCTCCAGGTCCTGCCCTCGCAGAGCTCAGAGTCAGGTGGGGGCGGAGGGAAGTCCTCCTGGGTCGCCTCCTCTGCTCCGCACCGTTCCCCGCCCTCCCTCGGTCCCCGGGTTCAAGTTCCCGACAGCAGGGTGTCCAGAGTGGCCGATGCTGCTGAGATGGGACCCCTGACCCGAGCTGGGACATCGGCTGCCCTGACTCCCATATTCTGCAGCCGCTACGTGTGGTGTGGAACTGGGAGGAAATCCTTATTCTATTTTCTTAGTGATTTTTAAAAATTTTAACTTTTCAATTTAAAATCAATTCCGACTTACAAAGAAGTTGCAAAAATCGTACAAAGAATTCCATAAAGCCTTCACCCAGCTTCCTCAGATATTAACATGTTATGTAACCACAGTACCATGATCGAAACCAGGAAATTCCCCCTGATGCCAGCCCACTCGCTAATATACAAACCTTATTCAAATGTCATCTGTTCATTGCTAATGTTCTTTTCCTCTTCTAGGATACAGTCCAGGATCCCACGTTGCTCTTAGCTGTCCCTTCTCCTCAGTCTCCTCAGTCTGGATCAGTTTCCAGGCTGACTTTTTCTGAACCCTGACACTGGAAGCGAGTACTGCCCTGCTATTTTGCAGAACGCCCCTGAATTTGGGGTCTGTTTGACGCTTCCTCGTCATTAAATTGAGGTTGTGTATTTGGGGCAGGAATGAGGTGGGAGCGACCTTGTGTCCGCTCCAGGCGCCCGGTCAGGAGGCCCGTGATGTCCATTTCACCCGGACGGTGACTGGGGTCACTTGGTTGACGTGGTGTGGGCCAGATTACTACTTTTCCTTGTGTAATTATTGAATATCTCGTGGGGAGATAAATAAGTAGGGGATCTTTGAGGACGAGAAGGAGAGGCAGAGGGGGAGAAGAGGGAGGCAGCTCATTCGCTCTGTCCCTTGTGTCTGTCCAGGCATTGTTGCAATTCAGTCAACGCGACAGCCTCGGGTCTGGGCATGATCGAGCTCGCAGTGTCCCCAGGGGAGCAGGAAGAGGCTGTGTCCCACGGTGACCACTGGGGGGCGGCAGAGGACTGAGGAATTCAAAACTGGGCTCCAGCAAGGAAAGCGGGTCGGTTCCTTCCAAGGAGCTGCAGGTGCGCGTCTCGAAGGCTCGGCGTGGGCTGAGGTCCGGCGGCTCCGGGGACCGGGGCGGGTGGGCGCCG